TGTGTTGAGATTGAGAAGGAAGATGGAGAGATTGAGAACCTTTTCTTCTCAAGTTGAGATTGAAAATGAAGGCAAGAAAATGGAGAGATTAATATTTTGTGGGCCTCACAAGTATCAAATAAATGATGTTTAGTCAAAATTGTGAGGAAGGTGTTGGATGATTTGCTTTTTTATAACAGAGGCTACCCAGTGCTCATTGAAAAATAATTCATAGCTAAATTTACACATTTACCATGGTGATGTGTCGCGCTCGTGTCGTGCCACGTATCATTGTGGGCCCCACATAATGTTCATTAGCTGAAGTTGACGACGAGCTACTAGATGCTTCATTTTTAAAAGTTCATAATTTATTTTACACCATCTGATAGTTTAGGCTACTAGATGCTCTTCGAAAAATAATTTATGGCCAAACTTACACCTTTATCCTTTCATTTTCTCTTTCCTCTCCTCATTTCTCTTTGTGCGGACAAAGAGAAGGGAAACAGAGTTGTGTGAGTCGTCGATGGGAGCTGGTTTAAGAAGTAGAGCTTCATAATAGAATACTTCAAATGAGATTTTAAGTATTTTAAAACTAGATAAGTATTTAAAAAAAATTTAATCATATTTTCTCTTGACTTTCAAATTTTAGGATTATGAAAAATCTAAGATTTGAAAGAGGGATGAATATTTGATGAAAAATATGATTATAAAGGTTGTTGATAGTATAATAAATATTTTAGAGTATTATTTTATTAATAAATTTGAAATTGAGACTTTTGAGTTAAACTCTATACCTCTTTGGATAAATTTTTTGTTAAATTTGAAGTTATAAATTAATTTGTTGATATTTAAATGATTATTTAAAATAAGAAATAGATTATTATAACTATAGAATGATGATTCTATATTTGAGACTAAGTTTGCAATTTTTAGGTGCAAATTTTTGGAATAAAAAAAAAATTTTGATATTAGAAAATTGTTTGAATAATAATTTTAGCTAAACTTCAATAAAATTATTGTGAATGAGGCTATTCAACCAAGTAGATAAATTCAAATATATGAGATTAGATTTTAGAACTCAAGACGCTGAGACTAAGGTCTTAAAAAATGAAACAAAATAAAATAAATACTTAAGTGTTAGGATATGAGTGAAAATTATGTTAATAATATTATTGATATATTGTGATATGATTTAAATGTAGATTAATTATTATTAACCACCAATCAAACTTTGAAAAGTTTTGAAAGTATTGTAATTTGAGGGGTAACTTTTGACCTTTTAAAAGTTGAGGTAATCAAGAAAAATTTGTTTTATACATTTGTATGTTAATTAATTATTTATGTTTGTGAAACAAATGAATATGTGTGTGTGTATACAAATCTTGAATTGTTATTTGTAATGCATATTGTGGCTTTGTTGAGACCCTATAATTTGTAACCAAGTTAATTGTGACATGATTTGAGTAATGAGATTGATGGTTGATGATGATGTGCATACTCTTGATTATAAATTGTGTATTATGCATAGTGATAAATTGTATATGAGTATGTTGAGTTTTATATGATGTTAATGTGATTTAAGTGGTAATATAAAAATTGATGCAAGAGGCGTGATTGAAATATGATAATTCTTAATGCTTGTTAAGCGAGAAAATTGATGAGCATGTGGGATAATTTTGAATTATATATATGAGTTTTTGAAATACATTTTCTCATGAACATGATCACATGATGGGAGTTCACCTTAGTGAAGGAGCTAGCGATTATGCAAAATCCATGTGGTACTTGGCTATTAATCGATAATCCTAAGGGTTATAGCAACTACTTACCTTATAGGGTACTATACCGCTGTTCCTATTAAGGAACTTAACCTTACTGGTCTGCTAGAGTTTTGGGTAGAGTTAGTCTTGGGTATATCACCCCATAGTAAGTGATTTGGGAGAAACTGTGTTCATAAGTAAGTAAGGTAGCCTTGGCCCAATAGCCCCTCACGATATGATTAAGGCCTTGGATAGTCTCACCACATGAATGATCCCTTCTGATTGTTGGCCTACGAATTTCATGTCAAAGAAAATAAAGAGGATATAAGGAAGAGATTGATTATACATATTATTATTATCCTACCATTTGAGTAATTGATGGCTATGTTTGAGATTATAATTGTAATTGTTGAATTGAGAACATGTGGTAAATATGTGAATAATGTATATGTGGCCACTTGTGCTAATTTTGTACGAATATTCAGTACTCGTGGGCAGTCATGCCAATTTTATACTTGACTTTATTCTTGAGATTATTCACATGAGTTAGATATTAATGTGATTAATATGTTCTTGACATGATTATTTATATGGTTATCTTGATGAATTTATTAGCTACATGCATTCATGATTAATTATCATGCATTTGTATAGCTTAGATATACCTTGATTACTGAGTGGTTATATTCATCCCTCTCTTTTAACATATTATAGGAGCTAGCTCATATGGAAAGAACAAAGGAAAGGAGCATTAAGCCAAATGATAATAATCACTTCTATAAGCCTTTTTCTTTTTAGTTTGACATGTATATTTAGTTTATGATATTATCAATTAGGATAATATATTCTTAATTCACTTATATTATGGGTTTTGGTGTTAGGTGAAAATATATTTTGGGCCCTTGGGGATGTGAATTGATACTTATGTTTATATTAGTACATTAAAATACTTGTGCAAGTGAAAATAGTTATTATCTACTTGATTTGAGAACTTAAATGTTGTTATGGTCTTCCCTTATATTTTTTATGTCCAAGGGTGAATGGTTGATATTAATTATATGTGAATGAAAATGAAAATTCACGAACATGATAGGCTATTGACAATTAGATGATATATAGAGTATGATGACTAGATAATAGTTATTGTGATAAATGTGATTGAGATTTTGACCCCCCATTACCAGTTATGGAAGGGTTTGAGTGGCTAAGTATTATGTTAGTGAATATATATATATATATATATTACGTGGAATAGGGTATAGAGAGAAAATAAAGGGGGGAAGTTTTTCTCCCATCTTGAAATGTGTTCCTTAATTATGCTTCCACACATATTTAATTGAAAGATGTGAGTTCTTGAAATATTTTAAAGACTTGGGATCCCTTTATTTTAAATAGTTCATAAAAATACATGTTAAGAATTTGTTTAGGTTAATCTCTATAGGATAACCCTTTTAGGCTAGTCTTTGATTAACCATGATTAATGTGATGATCTAAGTTCTAATTTAGGGCACACATTACAGAAAACACTCTCTTGGTCACCTCCTCTCTGTTTTTTGAACTGATTTCGCGTTTTAAAAAAAACTAGTTCAGGAATTACACTGTGGCATAAATTTTTATATTGCAGCATAACGCACAATGGCTAAAAATCCAATTTGTCTTTATAATTTAAGCTTAGGTGATCGAGTTCATTTTTGAACTCAATCCAAAAGCTAAAGCTAAATTCAATAGACGTCTCTAACTATCATCAAACCCAATTATACTTAAATTTTTATAATTATCCTTCATTAGATTACTAAATCATGGGAAAAATTTTTAGGATGTTATAATCCACCTTTGCATTTTTGATCTAGTAATCTCTTCTCCGCCTTAAGGATTTTGTCTAACATTGCTTAGAACCAAAAATCAAACAAAATAGAAATCAAAGGTAGAAACCAAAGATAGTCACCACTATCCACAATCATCCATGTTGGAGTCACTAACATCGCTGCCATCATCATCCTCTATCAATAACAAGGAGAGATGGTGGTAGGGCAAAATTGTCAAACTTGAGGGTACGATGAAAGTGGACTGGAGTTCTGTGAGGTTGGATAGGGAAGCATCATTTTTTTTAGAAGTGACTTCCAGAAGAAGACAGTTCAAGTGTATCAAACAGTCCAAAATTTAGGATTCTACTTCCACCTCTATTTCCCTACCTTCATTTTACTCTTATCAAACGAGCAACTAAATTTTTTTGAATCAAGCTTGACTTGTTTTTCTATTAAAAATAATCATGATCGAGATATTATTAGACACCAAATATGAATACTCTCCTAAAATGAACAAGAATATGAGTTTATTATATATGAAAGATTAACCCTTTTTATTAGACCCTAATCCCATTAATTTATCAAACTTGACTTTATTTTTAAACTCATGAACCTTATTACTGTAAGAAGACAGTGTAGCAACTTCCTATTGGTAGTAAGGTTTTGTATTGTTGAGAATAGTCTAGCATGTGTGCATGAGATTTGAATCTTAGGTCATGATTGCTTTACTATAATAAAATGGAATAGAATGGATTGCAAAAATTAAGATAAAAATAAATTAAATCATCTTTTTCCTATATTAAGTATGATAAAATTCATTAATATATATTAAAAATGTGAAAATTATTACACCCTCTAAAAATCTCATAAATCATGATTTCCAACTCTATGAATTAAACTACCCCTCCCCCTTATTAATGTGCTCACCTATCCCATTTAATCATCTTATTTTTACTTTTAGCTTTTTAATCTATTTCATTCCTTTCTATTCTAGCAAGTAAATATGACCTTAGTGGTGACAAAAAGAACATGTTAAGAAATGAATACTATACAATGGGGAAGAGTCCATGGTATGAAAATACCAGAGCTAAGGTTGAGTCGTTTTCAGTTGCAGTAGTTCCCTGTTGATGGAAACAATCCGCGGAGCTCAACGCTATTTGCTTTCATGCTTCATTGTTATTAACACTATACACTAATTGCTCTGCTTAATTCATAATTACTAATAAGATGTAGCTCAACTTAGCAATTGTCATATACTCGTTTTAAATAAGGCAACTGACATGCTGTTATCTACTTCAACCGTGGTTACTATTGAAAATAGCAGATCTTAGTTTGAACATGAAAATTATTTCCCATATATTTATATATCTCCATTAATTTTTGCATTCTCTGTCCAAGCAATTTTTTTTATACATAACCCCGTTCTAATATTAAACACTGTTACGCATGACGTATCTTCTGTTACATAAATATTTGAAATTACATTTGCAAAATTATGAACGTTTAACTATTCAACCAGGGAAATGAGAGCCTAATACAAAACTGCAAGTAAAAGAATGAAATTACATATAAAATTTTTATGCCGATGGAAAGGACTTTACTCGGAACTAAGAGGGAGCTGTACAGTAAGCAGCTTAACCTGAACCTTGCTCATGCAAAACATTTTGATCGATTCCGCTATAAATATGCAAAAAAGAATTTATTGAACCGCAATTCCACTGAACCCATCCGATGGGCGTGGAAAAGAAGTGTTGAAGTGCATTAGTTGAATTGCAAAACCGATGTCTTGTCACTTGCATCCGAAAGCAAAAGGAAGAGATGTACAGCCTTCAGCCATGTAATCGGATCAGTACAAGAACTCTTCAATTGTTTTTCTAAAGATATTACATCAAAAGAGAGTTTGAACTCTTAGTCTACACCTCATCCCACAATTCGATTTCAAGTAAACTATAAAAGCAACCATACGGTAAGATGCAGATAAGTTTTAAGAACATCATTCAATGAAAATTCTATTGTTTCAAGCCGTGAACCGATCTCTATGGTTCATTAAACACCAGCAAATCAATTCAAAAGCAATTTATCTCTGACAACTCCACTGCTAAAAACCCCATTTTCAGGTTAGTTATAGCTTCTAACGAACCTTTTCCCCTTGGAGGAGCACCGTCACAAGAACAGAAAGCATGTCTTAAAACACTCCAAGGAACTAATCACACACAAAATTAAAAATGAAGGATGGTGGAAACTGTGCAGCTCTAAAGGCGAGCTGCCTTCTAATCATCACCAACAGGACCCTAAGCCTATGGATAAATATATAATCCCAGCATGAGAAAAGATGCTGATTCTGACCATAGGCTTTTAGATGTATAAATAGTTCAAAATTCTATAGCGGTCCACTAAATTTAAAAATTAGAAATGTGCTTGATCTTATAACAAAATAAAAAATAAAAAAAAAACAAAGAAAGAAATGTACCTGATCATCAAAACAAAGGAGATTGAAAAAGACACAGCTTTGAATTAAATCCATGGCTGTGACAGAGACACATTCGGAATTGATGCCACTAAACCTTTCCCGCCATGTATGGCAGATTTCAGTACAGCATATTGCTCAGTTACAGAATCATAAAGTGCCTGTGTATAAACCTCCTTACTCTGTTCCACAACCAAATATGAAGATCTTTGAAAAGACACAAGTATAAATATAATCAATGAAAAATTAGAACTACAATTTACATGCAGCAATTACAGGTGATATACCTTGGATTTAATTTAAACAATTTATGTCATCCACCAAGACAAATACTCAGTATACCACATTGTGCAACAACGCAAGCATTGATCTGTTGGTTTAACTAGATTTTATACCGATGAACTCTCAAATTAGATGAAATAGGATGGAGAGGAAAGATTTTAATCAAATGAATTTCTAAAAAAAATAAACGAAATTGAAAATCTTTAATATAGAGAAATTGTAAAGGAAAATGCAAGTGAAATTAATTAAATTCTTTTCCATAAAATTAATTAAAAATTTCAAACCAAACTATTCCAATTTTTTTAAAATAAATTTTATTAAAATCTCTCATTCTCTCCATTCCCCTTAGAGCCTCAATTCATACTGAATTTAAAATATTTGAATATATAAAAAATCTATAGTCAAGCTCGACTTTAACAACTCTAACTTTCGGGTTTATTCAGGCCAAAACTACCTCAAATTATTAAAAATTATCTTATTTTATTTTTCTCTCTTTATTGAGTCCATAAATTGCATCTTTGAATTTTTTTGGCCAACTTATATATTTAATTTTAAAAAAATTACAAAATAAACAAATTTACATAATAAAAAAAATAATTTTTTGGGTAATTTAAATGATTTTTAAATGATATTTATATTTAAATAGGGGTGTTTTAGTCCAACAAATGGTTAGATGGATGAAAATAAAATCTTAAAAATAGAAAGAAAGCTTGTATTTTGTAACTCTCTATACTAGAAAAGGTTCAATTTGGTTTTAAAAAATAAAAGAGAAGTATTATTAATTAAGATAAAATAAAGAGAAGGTCAAAATATTTTACTCTTTTTTAATTATAAGCTTCATATTAACGATTAATTTTTTGTAGGTCCCACATGTACCTTATACTACAGGGCCTACATCATTCTTTACCTTTTTTACTATATCATATTTAAAAAAGATTAACAAAACGAAAAGAAAAGAAAAAGTCATATTGGTATTGTAGATCCGACCATAATTACAATTATAGATATAGATATAGATTATAGATTACAGATATCATAGATTATAGATTAGGTGACAGATTAACTTTTGGGCCAAGGAAGCTAAAGGGTCATAGCAAGATAATGAAGATAAAGGATAGCGGAGGGGCTAAGGCTGCATTATCTGGCAGTGTGGTGATTAAAGGAAGAGAGAATTGAGAGTTATTACATCCGGTCCTATTCATAAGACACTTTCTAAAAATAATTTTTGGTTTAAAATATAGGATACCTTACAATAATTAAATCACTTTTTCCAATTTTATCCCTTCTTGATTAGTATGTAGATATTTAATGTAGTTGTATCATTATTTAAAGCCAAGGGTAAAAATGAAAACACATCACCTTTTTATGATATTAAGAAAAAATTACTTCTTCTTAATATGCGTGAAATGGTTGAAAGTATCTTATAATAAGAATAAGAAAGAGTATAACAAAAGGGATGCAAGGGGAAGAGCTAGGAGGGAAATTTTTTTTTTATTTTTTTGGGTTTTGGGGAGTGGGGGGAGGAACTTTTGCTTGAGAGGTTTAGAAGGGGGCTCAGGGTCTAAGACTCTATCCAAGTGTACTTTTTTTCATTGTCGCTATTCTACTTAGACCCGCATCATGACAGAATCCTTGTTTTTTGGTTACGTTGGGCAGAGACCTATCATTGGAGGTTGATTAGTAACTTTGTTAAAAGTTTAAACATATACTTTCAGAGCCATTTTCAAAACTTAAAACCTTATTTCCAAGCACAAAGCCATGGTTTCCCATCTTATAATAACCAGGCAGGACAGAAGACTGGCACCTTTCGTGAAGAAGCCGAAAGAAAATTTGATGAAAGACAGAGGCACAAGAGAAGTGGTGGAGAGACATTGGAGAGATGAGGGAAGGCATTAAGGAGAGATCTTCATGAGAAAGTGGAACAGAGCTTCCACCGTTGTCAGTAGGTTTGACCGAATCAGAGGCCAAGGAGCAAGGGAAGAACACTGGAGAAGTCAGTAATCTGGAAAATGTAATGCTACCAGGTTTAGATTTCTTGATCATGTGGCTTGTGGTGGTGGTGGTGGTGGTGGTGGTTGGGGGGGTGTAACTGAGGGAAGGATGAAGCAGGTAATCATTGAAGAGCAATGAAGTGACCACAAGTTCATGGCACATCATCTCCAACCATTTCCTTTCAGAATTTCAGTGCCGGAAAGTTGTCTAGACTTCTATTCACTTTTATTTACCATTAGACGTTGACCAAGCCAAGAAATTGGGTGCTGTAACAAATTGTCGTGGCTGGTGCTGGAGCGGTTTAGAGGAAGGTTTGGAGTTTGAGAGGAAAATAAGTTAGAATTTGAGTGTGGTGTGGGAGATAGATAGGAAGAGAGACAGAAGATAGGGAAGGGAAGAGGAGAGATCAAAGATGAGAGTACATGAGAGAGAGAGAGAGATGATACTTACTCAATAGCCAAAAGTCAGCCGTACATTCCAATAACACACCCATTTATAGCCATTACTCCTCTAACAGTTATAACCACCCTAACATTTCACACATGCTCCATATATCGTACACACACTAGCAAAATCCTTGTTCTTTGAGTTTGAGTTATATTGAGCAGAGTCCCACCATTGGAGGTTTGCTCATAATTTTGTTACAACATGATATTTTCACAGCTATTTTCAGAGCTTAAGAACATTGGTTCCCAAGCTTTATTAAAATCCTGGTTACCCAGATTAAAAACTGGTTCCCACATCAGGGCACTTAATGGCCTCACATGACCTCACCCAAGAGCACCTTGCTCAGAGTAGTAAGCCTCATCCAAAATTTTACCTAGGTAGCATTGCTAATGAAAAAAACAAAATGCACCTGTATTTGCACTAATAGTGACATAGAAATGGTTTTCTGTCACACTCTAGTGGAGCCAGTTCTCAGTTCAACAATAACAAAGGGGATTCTCTATAGAAAATGTGACCAGTCCATGACATAGAAAACCCATGCAAGTGACAAGGGAATAGAAATCCAAGTCGTTAAGTTTATCTAACCTCTTCTGGGCTTTCACAAGCAATGGTGGCTTCAGAAAAGCTTATTGCTGGAGCCACTGATAATCCAACTCCATGAAAGGAGATAATTCTTTTCTCTCCAATTTCTTTTTCCACCTGCAAAACTTCTTGGTCACATTAAAAGAATGAAAGAATGTGCGCGCATGTGGGTTGAAATGACAAGGACCACTATACCTGTTGGGGAGGGGGCATGATATCATGGCACAATAGTACCAAAGGATAAATATGACCCAGTTGACCAGAATTTTCAGCAAGCCTTCTCATATTGTCCACTGAAGAAGAATCAAATGGTGCCTAAATGCCTTTTTTATCAGTATGAAATGATTATAAAAACTGGTAAAAATCTTATGCTAGCATCGATATGCATACATATACACATTCACTTATAATGTTAGCCTACGCAACAAGCCAAGAAATGGCAAACTAAAAATTGTCCAAGCAATTATTTAAAGAGAGATATACGACATGCTTCATTTACAAACTAAAAAGTGCAATTGTCTAGTTAGGAACAGGTGATCCAAAGCCCAACATTTCCAACTCCAATGCTTAAACCAAGCTTCAGCTTAGTTTTGAAATAGGTACTTTTTCCTTCTTCTTTTTTTGGGCATGCCTACCAGTGTTTCAGCACTAAAATTTATTTTCATGCTGTGAGGAACCAGGGTACTCGGTTTCTAATTGAAATCGAAGCTAAAAAATAATTTAACAAGCAACTCACAAACTGACAATGCAGGCCACAAATTCAACCTGTGCATCCCATCCTAACAGGAATAAGTACTGAAACAAGCCAAAAAGAGAAGAAGAAAACCAGGAGGTATGCTAAAAGTGAGCTAGAAGTTTGGGCTTGTTTAGTACACAAAATGTAAGGGAATATAATTTTTTTAAAATAAAAAAGGTAATTTAAGAATGAAAAATAATCTTTATGACCCTACTTTCAAAAACTAATTTAAGCTTTTAATGTTACTGAGTGATGATTACAAAGGCATAATAGATATTGTGCAGAGAGGATGGAAAGAGATTCCCTTCCCATCCTTCAAACCAAACCAGTAGCCTGAAACGTAACCACAAGTCCTCCTACACACTACTGAGGACTAGCTCTATAATTTTCTCGAAGTACAACACACTACAAGAGATCAAGAATCAGATGACATGCCTCCCATTTTAAGAAATAAGTTAATGACTAAGCAACGTTCATGAAATTTCAAAAATTCTTGTTCTAAGTGCTAACACAGATCACCTGGTCTTACACCCAGCAAACCTTTACGTTATATATCATTATATGATGTTCTCATGAATATTTTCTGAAGGTTTAAAATGGGATAAGCATACTCTGATCAAAACTACAATGCATTTGGATGTTTTACTTTAGGTAAAAACTGTGCTTACAGGTAGCCATTCTCCTGTTAGGGGATCTGGTCTATCCCTACCACCACTTGGTGCAATCCAGACTATCTGTGATCCACCCCTGCATCAAAAGGCTGCATATGTCATGGATTGCCAATATGATGTACATTTGGCCAATGAAACCAATCAACTATACCATCTAAAATCTAAAGGGAAACATAACCAACAGTATCGTTAGATCTTTCCTTCATATCTACATGCTAATCTATAAATTTTGAGATTTCTAGTAAATTAATGGACTCATTTTGACGCACTACACCTCATCACTTGCCAGAGTGCACTGCTTTATGGTCAAACATTGATGCATTACAGTCTTGACAGACATTATAGTTTTCCTTCTTAAAAAAAAGAAGCATAAAATCCCTAAAGTTCCTCCATAAACTAGATGTACCTTAAAAGCACAGCCATTTCCTTCAGGCTTCTTGTATTTGCCTTTCTTTTCATCTCTACAAGTTCTGGAATATCGAGCATGTGCTTTTTAGAGTAAACACAGATAAGATTCCTGTAAACATAAAATTGAAATTCAACAATTAGCAAGGTCAACTCCATTTATCAAAGATAATATGATTATAATTCTAAAACTAGATATAGAGAAGTACGAAAAAAAACCTGCCGATACTAAAGGGTTTGCATAAGGGATCTGTTACAACTCTATCTCCTGCAACATAGGTCTGCAGAGAACAGTAGAATTTGATCACTTCAGCATTTATCAAGCATTATAATTTATGAATATATATTTTGTATTCTACCATGCTTTCGGCAATATATGGGCAGGCTGTTTCAAGAAGCAGCGCAATTACAGCTGGATCAGCTTCAGTTTGGTGATTTGATACTAAGATGATATTGTGTCCCTGCAGTAAATATTTCATTATTCCATAAGTGCCTCCAACATTATGAATTTTCATGTCTAGGTATATGTTAAATTAAATTAAATTTAAGATGGCCGAGGCAAATTGATACATAGGAATTAAGAATAGTAGGGGTAATTAGGAGAATTAGAGATATAAGGGTAGTTTGGGTATTTAGTTTTAGTTTCTATAAATAGGTCTCTAGGTTGTAATAGGTCATTACAAATGGAATTAGTCTTTCTCTTCCTCTCTATTTCCCTTCTGCCTCCTCTCTCTATCCCTCTTTGTCTTCTACTTCTATCAAAGGTATCAAAGCCTTCTCTTTGGCCATAGAGGGGCTGTCGGAGATTCGATCCTTCGATAGTAGTAGTGAACTGGAGCACTGCCTTCATTTTAAGCAATACATGTCTCAGCTTTCCCAGCAAATGAATGAAATCTTGGCTAAGCTCTTTGTGCTCGTCAACTAACGCCTATACCCTCTGTCGACAATGACACCCTTTACATCTACTACAACTATTCCTCCTCAACTTTTAGTCACCAAGAAAACAATCTTCACAGCAGTCATTGAGTTATTACAGCTGAAGAGACCACAGTGGAGGAGTACTAGCAGAAGTTCAAAACACTCCTGCCCTGGGCAAGGTTATCGTAATCCACCGCCATCAATGTCTTCATTAATGGACTCCAACCAGTGATACAATGAATAATCCAGTTCATCAATCCAAGAACCTTTGCCAAGGCTATGTATTTTGCTGATAAAAAAAGATATGGGTGGAAGAAGAAACTTGACAATCAAGAAGAATGCATCGAGGAGGAATTCAAGACTTCGATGCAAGAAGAACACAGAAGTACGGAGAAGGACTTCAAGAGTCGAAGAACCACAAATCATAAATTGCAAGGATCAAAGAACTCAAGCAACGGAGACTGATAATCAAGACAACTCATTTGTCATGGAATTCAATATGCTCCAAACCCCACTTTCAATCGATGTTATGATTACATCGAAGCAAGCAGAGCCTCTTCTCAGTCTTGAGGGTGGCGATGGATTTGTTATCCTCAAATTTCGTCCTCAACGTTTCTTGCTAATGAACCAGCTACTGCATCTTCAACCCAATAAAGGTCTTCTATCCACATTTCATGCTCACGCTCCCTCTGTGCCGCCTCATAAGTCCTTCTAAGCATTTGCATCGCTGAACTCATTTGAGTCTTGATTTTCCCCTCTAGCACTATCAGGTTATAAACCAAACCTGGTTTCCAAACCCACCTCACATACAAGCCCAGTGGTTGACAAGCCCAAACCAATAATCTCTTCTCCCAATCTTGCTAGTTTTGTGTTGTTGACCTTTAGACCACATTCAAAGCGCGAAATGGACGATAAGCATCACAAAGTCAAATGATTCAGACTCAAAACGCAAGAGAGCACTAGAGTCCAAATTACAGTTGCAGATAGTCAACAAATTTTGGAAAAGATTTCTCTACTTCGAGGAAATGAGACATTGTTGCAAGCAAATAAGAGGTTAATTAAAGACAAGGAGAACCTAGTCCAAGCTTTTGTTGAAGGAATCAGGTGGAATGGTGTTTGCAAAGAGATTACAGAATTGATTTTCTCTTGGGTCTGAGATCTCTTTGCATAGTGAAATGAACAGAACGCATGAACAAGGTTGTCGAAGCTGTATAGATGTTTGGGGAAATGGGTTTTGGATCTCCAATTCAAATATAGTTTCATGGGTTTGGATGTTGTAAATTGAGGGTTTTCTTTCAGGCCTCTTGAATCTTCTTTAATAGGGAGGACATGCATCTACTATGCATTTCCACATTAAATCGTTTGCTGCTACTAACGCTAGTCGTATTCCAGATTTCCTCCAAATGTTCTCCACATGACAGCAAGGAAATCCCATCTAATATATTTTGGGTGACAAAGGGCAATGAAATTAGGCCTTTGCAACTTAATCGAATAGTACATGTAATCAACAATTCAAGGTGGGGGCAACATATAATCTACATGAGTTTGGTGAGTTTCATGAAGTTGGGCTGAAACTGGGCTTATGGTCTGCAATGTCTAGACCTGTTAAACAATTATGGATCCTCTACTCATTGGTTTATAGCATCAACAATCCTATATGGAGGGTGACAATGGGCTTCTGGATTGAAGGACAACTGCAAAAAGTTTGAGCTTCTGATGTCCATTAATTTTTGGTTTTCAAATTATTATTTTTTCTTTCTTTTACAAGTTTTAGCACTTTAAGATTAAAAGAAAAAAAATTAATTCTAGATGTACATGTTTTACTTTCAGTTTTTGTACTGACCCTTAAGGACAAGGATCTCTTTTAAGGAGGAGCATATTGATACATGGGAATTATGAATAGTTGGGGTAATTAGGAGAATTAGGGATATAAGGGTAGCTTGGGTATTTAGTTATATTTTCTATAAATAGGTCTCTAGGTTATAATGAGTCATTATGAATGAAAGTAGTTTTTCTCTTCCTCTCCATTTCCCTTCTGCCTCCTCTCTCTCTCCCTCGTTCTCTTCTACCTCTATCACAAATGCACTCAAGAATTTATTAGTCAAAATCATGCTTGATATATCATAAGAGATTGCAGGCTTTTTTTTTTTTTTAATTCTTTTGTGTAGTTTAAAGAAGTCTCATTTAACAGGATAAGACTTGTTGTTATTGCAAAACAATCAAAGCAACAGAAACACGACAATCTAAAGATAACAAACATAACTGTGACAGGAAGCATTTTAACCAGACTAATTAGAGGACAAAGAGAAGAGCGCAAACAGTCAAATCAGCTACATAACCAGGGCCTACCAAGGTCTGCCTGATTGATTCATTGAAAAACTTCCAAGCCATAATACATGAAATTTGTTGTAAATAAAAAGTCAATTATCATCAATATTGTCCCAAAACAAGAGGGACAACCTACTGCCCCAGTCTGATGGGCATAAAGAGCTCATGCTATGCACACATGCTTAGAACTCAACCTTTAAAATTTGCCGAAGAAGGCAGGTGCAATAAAGGAGGAAACTTCAACTTTCTGTACCTCACCTCCCTCTCCCACTTGGTGATAAAAGGCTAATTACGTTTACCAATATTTTACATCAAGCAAAGAAAATCTAGAATATAAAATCAACTTGCTAGGAATTGGCACCTGCTTAAGTTTCTCTTCTATTTCGTAGAAAAGGGAAATGTTGCCAACATAGGAATTTCTGCAACAAAAAGATCACATTCATTTTTTTTAAAGAAAAACACATGTACTGCCAGATGGAACTGAGATTATCTGGATATAATAAAATTTAAACTAATTCCAAGGGGGCCAGAAAACCTGAGAATAGGAATATAGAATGCTACATGCCATAATTATACTCCTGAAAGTGCAACACATAAGTTTACTGAAATAATGTATAGGATTACAGAACCTTGAATATAAGCATATGCAAAAGTGAACATCATGAGTTTGGCATAACCAAGATAAACACATGCATCATGATCTCCAATTGAGGATCAAATTTACAGAAAGATAATTAAGTTATAAGCACATGCAAAATCATAAGCAATCATTAACAGCTTTACAAGTTCCATCTTTATACACATGCATCATGATCTCCCCTTGAGGATACAAAGAAGAGAAAGAATGAAGCCAAATAAAAATCCCACTCAAACAAACAGCTATAGAGGCAAAATTTTTGCATGGTAATAACAAAAATCTTTAGTTTTATTGTGTTATTTCTATCTTAAAGGTAACCGCAACAGCTGACTGATCACATATTCAGCATCTATACATCCATGCAAGACTTGTTTCTATATAATTAGGCATGTTCAAGACTTCTAGCATTCTAGCACCACACTCTGCAGTTGGCTGTTGGCAGAATCTTTACACCTGGAGTATTTGTCTCTCCAAAACTGTAAAAGAATATGTATTTAATCCTAGAGACTCCATGAAGACAGTGGATTATCAACCTAGATATATCACAAGCTTCAAATGTTAAACTGTATAAGTCACCACCACCTACATAAATAAATATTACATTCCTGCTCCATTCCTACATATATAAAGATGTTTTGTGTGGATGCCTAATTGAATTTACAAAAATATCATGAAAACAAAAAAAGCTAAGTCCAAGATCAGAAGTGCACAACCCCAGGATTTGAACAGCTCATTGACAAGTACACTAAGGGACGTAGCTAAGGAATCATCACAATTGCTTCCACAATAGTAAATACTCTAAATCAAACGATTGGTTATAATAGTACAGTTACATGTACAGAATTTCAATACAAACTGTACATGCAGATTGCATGCCATCTTCTCCCAAAAATTTAAACCTTTAAATTATAGACAGAACATGCATCACCTGTGCTTTCCCAACACAAGAACTTTTGCAGGTCTTATGTATTCTAAAATATAATAATTACTTGAGTAGATCAGGATATGAAGGAGATGAAGGAGAAACTTCAAGTTGTGAACTTACCTGAAATCAATTAAAGGACGTATATAATTTTGACCAAACGTATAGTAGTCAAAAGGATCTCGCTTTGCCTTGTGGTGTGGTTCAAAGACAAAAGGATCCTGAAGAAAGTTTGTAAGAATCATATTCATATATGGTGGTGAGAACATCAGCAAACTAAATGTGCACATATGTCAAGATGCCATGAAAATTTTCTCTCTCTTTTTCCTTTCCATTATTATTGTAAGTTTTTTACTGACATAATTAATGCACATTCTACTATGGTTAAAACTTACCTCTACATCCAAAAATATGCGATCCAATGCAATAGTCATGTTTGACAATACAATCTCATCTGCCCTTGGATGGCCACTTTTCATAATCTGAAATATGATTGCATGCATAAGGAATTGTATTCAACCATTTAAGTCATTCAAATGTAGAAAGATAAATGGAAAGACCTGTATATCAAACTGCAGTGCAATAACATTATATTTGAACTGCTTATGTCCTTAAAGTATATCAAATTATTTACATTACATAAGATCGTAACAAGTTTGCCTTTTACAGTACAAATGACAAGAAAACATGCAGAAGTAGCAACAAGCATTATCCCACTAGGTGGGATCAGTTACACAAATTGTACGACGCCATTATGATTTATCATATACTAAGCTTTTAAAAATGTTGTTAACTAAGAGATCATGACCAATAATTTTTAAAAGTGTTCCCTTTACCGATTCTCTACTATTCTTAACAAGGCTTAAAATTATCCCTTTCACTCTTCTCATGGTGCCTCTAGCGGTCTTCTTTGTATATGTCTAAATCATCTCAAATGATTTTCTACCATTTTCTTTTCAATGGGTGCTATGCCCACTATTTCACATATGTGATCATTTCGAATTTTATTTTTACGTGTACATCCGCACATCCATCTCAATATTCTCATCTCTACTACTTCAACTTTATACTCTTGTTATCACGTGAAAGCCCAACATTCACTACCATATAACATAGCTGGTCTCATAGCAGTTTGATGAAACTTCCCTTTAAGTTTATTAGGCACCTTACGATCGCAAATAACTCCTTTAACCTTTCTCCAATTAAACCACCTAACTTGTATCTCGTGTGTAATATCCCCTTCAATTTCCCTATCATGTTAAATAATAGCTCCCAAATATTTAAAATTTTTCACTTTAAGATATAATCTGATCTTCTAATTTCACTTCCAAATTACTACTAATTGATCTCTTATTAAAATTACAATGTAAATATTCCGTCTTACTCCTACTCAAGTGAAAACCTTTTGATTTCAATGTCCTCCTCCATAACTCAAATTTATAGTTTATCTTTTCTCTCGTCTCCACAATAAGAACTATATCATTCGCAAAAAGCATGCATTTGGGATTTCATTTTGAATATGCTCAGTCAAAATATTTAGGACCAAGTCAAACAAATAAGGACTCAAAGATGATCCCTGATGCAGTCCAATCCTTAAGCTGATATGACAAGAAAACATATTAAAGATGAAATAGTAATATAAAGCACACTAAGGTTAATGCAATACCATAAGCTGATATGCCAATCAAGAGGTAAAGGTTGAAGTGACAAACATGAATAGATAAAAGAGATGATAGGCTCAAGAAATTATCGGCACTTGAAACATAAATTTTAGGTGGTTCATTAGGAAATTCTGAATGCCGACATGATTTTATTATGATATTAGGAATGATTTAGTAAAGTAAATCATGGTCAAATACTTCATTTACATTATATCGATTGCAAAATAGAGTGATTCCAAACAAAATGACAACATTTTGTATGCATATGATAAAATGGAAGGCTCACATGTATTTTAAAACAAGGCATCTAGAGTATAGTACAAATTTATATGAATAAAACGTACTGCACTTTTATAGTTCTGGTACAATTCCTCCATTCCAGCAGCAACATTAGAAGGCAGAGATCCTACTTCTACTTCTTTCTTGATTCTTGACAGAAGTTCTGCAAAAATACAAGAAACATTCAGTAAAAAAATAACCTTTTAGGATTAGATGTAAAAACTATGCTGGAAAATAAGAGTACGGTAAGAACTGAAATTTTACATAAACTATGCCTCAAAGTGTTAAATTCTATAAGCGGCTATATTTAATAATTAAACCATTCTTCCAATTTTTACACAATACATCAAAAGATTTCCTAGTTCTAAACCATTACCTTGGAATTCATACTGTATATCAAATAATATTTCCTCAACACAAATTGGTGAATGATATTATTTGGAGAAATTGTCCTGTAAATACATCCATAGAGAGTTTGATAATTACTGTTTCTTTCTATTTACTACAGATATAACATCATGAAGAAAAGGAAAATACAAACAAACAGGGACAAAGAAAAAAATGCATTTCACATATTCAAAAAACTCCACCAATTTCATGAATTGTCGTTTCAATTTCCTAAAAAAAAGGTTCAATTTCCAAGGCAAAAAAAAAACAAATGACAGAATTTGCAGTGACTAATTGAGCAGGAAATTCCAAAAAAGTGAAGGAAAAAAAATCTAGAAATCAATAATTAATTTGATTGATTCTCTTCTACCATGTTTTCCTAGTTCAAAAGATGATATAACTCAAATATTAAATATATCTAACAAGCAACAACTAAAATCAGCGGCGCCATATTGTCGGGAGAAAATAAAAATAAAAAACAGAAGCGCCAAAGTTCAATCTATATTCTAAAACAGCAAAGCCAAAGTTCCTCTTCTCATCGATTATGTTATATAATTAAATATGACTTTCTAGATTCATTGAACTCCACATTTCTCAGCAACCAAATTGACAAAACGTCAAGAATCATTTTCTTGAAAAAATGGCAATTTGCAATTAGTAAAGAAGAACAACCAAAAATGTCAAGAGATTCATAAAAGTAAAGGAATGGCAATCAAGAAATGAGAAACCAAACCTTCCTCAGTGCGAGCATTTAGAAATACTCGCGAAGAAACCGAACTAGCCATATTATACTGAGAGTTCTTGCCAGAAAACACTTCCTCCTTTGCTATAACCTTCAGTGAGTTAAGTGAGCAAGAACAAGCAAGACTCAGAGCAGCGGATCGCAGAGGAATCCAGCCAAGCTTTGAGTGAGAATAAAACGAAGAAGAAGAAGAAGACGTTGATGGATAAACCCTAGGTGAGCTTGCGGCGACGAATGTGGATGATAGAGAAGGAGCGGAAGAAGAAAGAATAGGCATAGTCTTCTTGGAGAGGGAGAGAGAGTTCGGTTGAACCGCTGAGAAAGGACAAAGCATGCTCGTCGTTGAAGCCATGAGAGCACAGAAAGGTGAGAGAGTCGAACAGGAGGATTGGCACGTGCCTTATATCGTTTTTTTTTTTTTTTTGGGGTGTGGAGGCCCACACACCAGCAGCCAAGGCAGCGAGGGCAACAATAATTGAAGATAAGGGAACAGAAGTGAAGTACTAGCATCAGATCAAGAGGCTTTCTGTTATTGTAGCTATTCACCACCATCGGATTCAGAAGCAGCCGTTCGATGTCCAAGAAGAGAGCTGGGGATGAACCCAACACGTGGAGAACATTGGTCGGTGTGCACTAGACGGAGAGTACAATTTGGAGCGGAGGTAGTATGTCTTTTTCATTCATTTTGGAACGTTAAAAAAATTAAAAAAGAAACAAGAAACAAGAAACCAAGTACTTGGAGATTTTTTCCTTCCATGCACGAAATAATAATAACCTTCTAACAAATAAATCTATGATTTTAGTTCTTGTGCTAAATAATTTTGGTGATATTTTATTCTCATATAATACAATTTTTTATATGAAAAATAAAAGATAATTTAATAAAAATAATATTTTAATAATGATACATTTTTTAATGTTACCCTATAACTAGTAGAAAGATAATTAAATGATTGCAGTGTAATACTAACTAAGAGCTATCTTAAAAAGATTAGTATTTTTGTTCGAAAAAATAAAATTATAAAATGTTATTACTAAATTTTATTGGCATATGTAATGATATTTTTAAATTATTTCATAATTTAGTATAAAGAGAGTGTTGCACTGCTTATACTTTAATTAATCCTTATTACAATTTTAAATTTTAGTTAATTAATTTATTTTTAATTTATTATTTTAATACATTTTTTAATAACATTTTATATGATCTTCACATTATTTTTTATAAAAATATACTTCTTTCATTCAAAAATATAAGGCATTTTTGAGGAGTTGAATATTTACAAATGTAAAACATTTTTAATCTTTTAAGATATAATTATTGTTCTTTTTTTAAAAGTGTCCCTATTAATTAATAATTTTATATTTATTGTAGGGTGTTTCATAGGGATAAATATGAAAAGATAAGGTTAGTTAAAAAATAAATAACTATTTTATTAAAGGTAAGATTTAATTAAAAATGTCTTACATTTTTGGACAGAAAAAGTAATTTTTATACTTTTGAAATTAAATCATAAAAGCTCATAGATGTCAAAATTTCTATCCATGACCAAACTTGAAAATTTTAAAGCAAATATAATAAATAATAATTGTAAAGTGATTTTATAAGTATATTGCACCGTTTTTTTCAAAAAATTTATACTTTATTTTATAGTGATATATTAATTATTAGTTAATTAATTGGAAAAAATATTGTTAATTCATAAGGCCCCACCTGGAAATTTAAGGAAATAAATTGAACAATAATTCTACAATAAATTCATAAAATATGATAATAAATATAATTTGAACTAATCTCTCAAAATGGTGATGGCCATATCTACAAATCTTCGTTGTTATTATTACAGTTTTACGAAGTGGGAATTTGAGTGAGTTTGGGCAATATTCTTGTATTTTTCATAATACTTTCCCAAATTTATAAGTCAATTTTAGTATGTTTTATCAAAATTAATAAAATATTAAATCTCATTAACTTTATCTTAAAATTTAATAATTTTTTACATTTAACCCTAATAAATATTCTTAAATATCATTACTGATATTTTTATTCAAAATATTTAATAAAGATGAAATGTAAAAAAGAACATTAGAAATTAATAAGTGCCCCGTAAATATGATTAAATTTTTTTTTCTCTCTCTACCCTATAAATAGGACCAAAGGAGCACCGTGTGATGAAACAGGAAAAATTATATATAGGTTATGTACAATAAATTTATTTATAAATAAGCCCAACAAAATTCATAAATTATAATTAAATCCCTTGAAACATAAGTGTAATTTGAAGTTGAAGTGTAAAAACAACATTGTCTTTATTTCACTCATAGCTATAACTTCATAATGTATAGGTGAAAATTTTTAATTCATGAGTTAAATTTATTAACGCTTGATATCACTCGCAGTCTCTATGAAATTAATTATGCCTACTTAAGACTATAATTAGAAAGTAAATTATGAATTTTACATCCTAATTAGACTAGTTATAGGATTAAGTAGTCAGAAGGGGAGGGATATTATAATAAAAATTGAGAAATGTTTGCTTGAATAAGGAGTTGATAGGGTGTTTGCTATTACAATAGACAATGTTACTTTTAATGATGTTGCTCTATTATACTTGAAAGAAAAAAAAATTATAATTAGGGCTTTTCTATTAGGAAGTATCAATTTCTACACATGAGATGTGTTGTTCACATTGTAAATATGGTTGTTTTTTATGGGTTGAGATTAATAGGAAATTCTGTGAAGAGAGTTAAGGAGGTTGTTTAGTTTGTTAGGCAATCTGCCCTTAGGATGAAAAAGTTTAAAAAGAGTTGTGAGGATGAGAAGGTTCAAAGTAAGAACCTTTTGACTCTAGACGTCTCTACTAGGTGGAACTCCATTTATTCAATGTTAGAGACTGCTAAAAAATTTGAGGTAGCTTTTAAGAGGTTTAAGGATAAAGACCTTTATTTTTGCATTGATCTTAAATAAGGGCAAGGGGTGCCTAATGCTTATGATTGGAGGAATGTTAGAAGGATGTGATGTTTCTTAGTCATTTTTATGAGATGACCTTATGTGTGTCTAGTGCTTTCTATGTTACATTCAATAGCTTGTTTTATGAGATTCACATGATATATCGCCTTTTAGATTAGTGGACAAAGTATCATGATTTTGAGCTATCATCAATGGCTTTTAAAATGAAAGAAAAATATGACAAGTATTGGGAAGATCCTTTAAAGATGAACTAACTCATTTATGTTGTTGCTATTATAGATCCTCAATAGAAGTTGGAATGGGTTCAATTTTCTCTTTCTAAAGTGTTTAATGGTGAAGGTGAAAATTTGGCAAAGCAAGTGAAGGATGTTTTCATTGCTTTATACATGAATACAAAGAACATATCTCTCCCTTAAAGCAATCTAAAAAGGAACAATAAATGAAATCCAAGCTAATTTTGGTGATGAAGAAGACTATACTGTGAAGGTTAAAAGGTTGTTGAAATCAAAAAAGAGAAAATTTTCAAGTGATCGCCTTGGTGGAAAAAGTAACAAAACTGAAGTTGATAAATATTTAAATGAAGAAATTGAAATAGATAAACATAACTTTAATATTTTAGGCCGGTAAAAATTGAATGGTCTTAGATTTTCCATTATTTCAAGGTTGGCAATAGATGTTTTGCCAATACTAATTTCCATAGTTGCTCTAGAGTTTACATTTAGCATTAGAGGATATGTTTTGGATGTGTTTAGGAGTTTTTTAACTCCCAATATTGTGCAAGCCCTTATTTATGCTAAAGATTGGTTTCGTCACTCCATTTCATGTGGTTGTAGAAGAGAAATTAGATGATATTTAAAAGATTAAGAGGGGTAAAAATTTTATAAGGTTGTGTATGTGTTGTGTTACCTTTAAAATTCATTTGTTTATGATTTAATTTAACTTATAAATAGATTTTTTTAAGATTTTCAAAGAATTGAATTGGAATAAGTAGTGGATATAATGTGAACTCTTCGAGGTAATTCTCCACTATAGACTTCTAAAGAATTGAATTGGACTCAGTGGTGGATATAGTATGAATTTTTCAAGGTAATTCTTCATTATTATTATCCATGGTAATTAGTTCATTTAGTTATGATCTTTGTTTTGTTACTGCTTTTTGTAATTTTCTAACTTCTGTTGGTTCTTGTTGTTGTTTCTTATTGTCTTGAGTAATAAGCTTGTTCATTTTCTTAACTCTATAATATTTTGGCTAGATATTTAATTTAATTATTTTCTTTTATAATGTAGGTTTGAACAAAGACTTTATGTCATTGGCAGTTGACAACTTGTAAATTGTAATGGTTTGGTTATCTTTTATTTTTTCTTAATATTTTCTGATGATCTTATAAATGAGTTATTTTGGATTATGTTAAAACTCTTGGACTTATTTGTAATTTTTTAATGGATTATTATTGTTATGTAATGGATTATTTTGGATTGTTAAGAATTTACATTAGGTGAATTATGAATTTATAAATTATATGTGAAACTCATCTATTTTTTGCTTTACTCTTTTAGCTTATAGGTGTAGATTTGAATATGATTTTTCATTTTGATATGTTTTTCTATGTCATTCAATGTCCACGCTGTTGTTTTTAGGGGTCCTTTTTGTTTTCCTCATGGTTATCTTTATATTTGTTATGTTAATTTTACAATTTTGAGGTTTCTAAATTTTACAGGATCCAATGATATCTTAATCATTTTTCCCTCACTTTAGTTGGGGGGATTTGGAGTTTTAAATTATTTATTAATTAGTATGACACTTCTTTTTTAGATAGGCCTAATGTGTTGACAAAAACAAACCTAACGTGTTGACAAAAACATGCCCAATAACCAAGACAAATAATCTAATCAATTTGTCGGTTTGGTTTAAAAAATTTTAAATTTTAGTTTGTCGGTTTTCTTAAATCACAATCAAACCGAACCATAATAATCGATGCTCACTCTTATGCATTATTTTTAAAATCGAACTGGCAACCCGGTGACTTGACAGTTTGTCTGGTCTGATTTTTTAGTTGAAGTTGGCATTAGTTGATTTGAGTTAACCCCGAACAACTCCTGAATTTTTTTAACTGAGAAAAATTTAAAAAAAAAAACCTAAATCGCATTTTGCAAAAGCTCAAATCAAACAACCTTCTTCACCTCTTTGTCGAGTGGTCTCCCTCCCTTTTAGTGGTAGTGTTGCTCAATCTCTGCTATATGGTTCCCTTCTCTTCTCGGTGTTCTCAGTCATCGACCCCAAACCCATAGTAAGTTAATCAAATGAAGATTAGGAGATCTAGAGGTGAGAAGATAGAGGATGGAAGATGGAAGAGAGAAAATAGATTATAAAAGAAGAGAGAACGAGATGAAAAAAAAAATCTATAGTTATCGAAGAACTGATTGGGTTCCTATGTTGATAAACTCCAGCTTTTCTTCTTTGCTTAAAAAAAAGAAAAAAAACAAAGACCGAGACAAGGGACATTATAGTGTAGAGTGGGTAATGAAGATAGAGAGAGAGAAAAAGAAAGTGATTGTCAAGTTGCTTGTAACGTGATTGTCTACCTCTTTTGCTTGGCTTTAGCTACTCTAATTTTATTTCCTCAAACAACATGTTGATTGGACTAAAAGATATTCATATTATGTTATTTATAATATATATATATATATATTATTGTTTAAACATATGTATTAAATATTTTTTAATATGGAAAAATATTCTAAGAATTAATGTATTTTTATTTAAATTATATTATTTTATTGTGATCGATTTGACCCCTAGCACAACCTCAGTTGAAGCCTTAACCCCTGACCCTTGATCTTAGCCGGTTTAATGATCAATCTTATTTTTAATACCTTGCTCCTATACAACATGGCTAACAAGACATGTGCACAATGCTTTATTAACACAATGCGGAATTTGTCAAAATTTTCCAACTTCAAACATACATAGCCTTACATACACAATTCCAATTTAGTTATTCAAGTGTCCACACAAAATTTATTTAAAAATCAACCTAATGACTTTAGTTTGGTATAAAAATTCCTCCAAGTGAGAATTTTATCCACTAAAACACATCAAGAAGCAAAATCCCACTTTCCAATCATTTAACACCTTATAAATCAAAACCAAGGCTGCTAGCTATTATATAAAATATTTGACTGACTTAAATACATTCCAAACAACAATTATATCATATTAAATTGGCATATCCATTCAAAATCTTCATAGTTGGGTTATAGTCACCTAACATAATTAATATGCAAATACCACATAAATTGACACAAATAAAACATTTCCTCAAAATATGTTGTAAATCATTTAATCATTACAAAATATGACAATGAATGTGACAAAACCACTTCTTGGAAATCAAATAGAAAGTTAATCAAAAGTATGGGAGTTACAATACTCATAATTACATGTAAATGCCTTAGGGTTGACAAAGGTACATATACCTAATAAAAAAAGGGCCAACATGGCCAATTAGTATCTACTTACACCAACTATACTTCCAGTGCTTTTTCAACTATTTCCTATAAAAAAATTAGCAATGGAAAGTGAAACACAAAGGTCTTAGTAACCAAAATTAATATGCAATTATGCATTCAATACAACCTATCATGTGATTGCAAAGCGGGGCATACAAGATAAATTCCAAATATTGAATATCCAAACAAAACCAAACATTTTCTGTTTAAACATGACAACACCTTATACCCATCCTATTTGTGTGCTTAAAACCAAATCACCTAACTAAAGGTGGGTTGGTCTTAGCTCATAGTTACTCATTGGGTCCGGTGAAAACTTCCCACATGATAGAATAACAACTCTAAACAAAATGTTGAGACAACAATTTATTTTCCAAACAATCCCATCATGTCATACTTTTAAACAGTCGAATAAAAACGTAACTGAACAATTATATGCTCCCATACAATAATCATTTTTGAACAAAATACACATATTTATATATGCAATATTATCCTACTCGGCAATTATTTTTCCGAACAACAAAAACATGCTTTCTCAACATTTTGGTATCCAAACAATATAAACACACACATGACAAATCACAATGCATGCACAATTACACATTAACAATGGTTACCTTACTTACTTGCTAATAAAGCTCCCTTGCACAAGAGCACCTCTACCTTTTTCGATGTTTCTACCACAATTTACATACCATGCAATGTTAATTATAATTAATAAAATGCTGATTAACATTAATCATAGTGTCAGCACACTAATCACACCCTAAACTGCTGATTAACACCGGTCACAGTGTTAACACACTAATCACACCTTAAATCCAAGGTGAGGTTATTACCCCAGTTAATCCAAGTCTATCACAACCATTTAAACTCCTAAACTCAATTGGAATCATCATCGTCATACTTTCTAAATACTTATTTCACCTTTTCATAACCCAAATCATCCTTATAATCACCTTACCAAGTCTAAAGTTTCAAACTCGACCCGTTCAAGATCATAAACAACGTTTTTACTTATTTAATCTTAAAACACCCATATGATTCAAAGTCGAGTACTAGGTATAAATAAAAATACAACCTTAGCTTCAGTCCTTATAAGAACAAGCTAAGGGAGAGGAGTATAAGGTAGAAAAGTGATTAAATGTGCTTATCTTAACTGTTAGAAGGCCAAAATCATGCACGATAAATACCTCTTACCAAATCCTTATCGAGCTCATTAATTTCACTCAAAACCTTAGTTGTTCCCCTCTCTTTTGTCTAATTTTTGAATTCGGAAAATAGGTGCAGAATTTGTGCCATGGGTGTGCCCGTTGCTGTACATTGCATAGAAATAGGGCGCTTCATTTAGCCTCACAATTTGAGCCTAATTGGCCCATTACCTAATTTTGATCCAATTAAATCTCAATATATCAGCCTAGACCCAATTTATGTTATAATTTGAGGCCTATATACATGATTATTATCAAATAACATTGCATACAAATTTATTTTCTAATTAAACCTCAAAAATAATATCAATCCTTAATCAAATTCCCTAATGATTTTCCCTATTAAATACATATTTAAAAATCAAAATGTTACATGATGAATTAAAAATAAAATAAAATAAAACCAGCAATAGAAGGATCAAAACGTGGAGGCTATACAGGTTAACTATGTTTATAAGGGAGTGGAATCTAGCTTGTAAGATTTGAAGTTAATTATTATTCATAAAATTTGTTAAGGGTGTGATGATTTTTATATTTGCGATATATGGTATTAGGTTTTATATGTCATGAGGATTAATTTTTGTTTTGATGTTTTTTAATTTACCTCACTCCTCTCGCAGCCAAACAAGTGCATGGTGTGTTCAAAATTAATATAATTTATTTCAGCATAGTTATTATTTTAATTGAGGGCTTGGAGCACTCCGTGGCTTTCACCTCGTAGAAACATAAGACAACTCTCAGCTCCTTAAAGATCAAAATGTTCATCGACACTAAACACAATAAAGATTACAGTCCATGGATTGCTCCATCAGAATCCTCAAAGTTAAGTCCTGGCAACTTGGGGAGATCACTATCTTTGTGACACAGAACATCTTTTGAATACTAGTGCTATTTGCCTATTTCTCAAGCTGTAAGGTTTGAGAAGGAGGGCGTGAATTCGGTCAAAAAGGAAAAAGAAAACAAGAAAGAGAGGTGTGAGAAAGAAGGATCCGTGGAACTTAAAAGGCAAGAGTGGATTACATAATAAAAATAATTAAAATAATGCTTTAAATCGAGGGAGGTGTCATAGGAGCCCAGGCCTGCCCAAGTCAGCAGAAGGACGGTCCAATAAGAAAAGGGCTGTGACAGAAATGACAGCATGCAACAGGTAACGATATCATTACCTGCCTTGAACATCGGCTGCATGATGATGGTGGGGCCGAATTCTGCGTTGCTTTTCGTCCAAGCTAAAAAACTTTCTACAAATGCGTGAGAAATTCCTGGTTTAGTCCGCCGACTCTAGTCCAAAGTCTGCCATTGTTTACGGCGTCCTTTATCCGCCCCTTCCTTCTCCGTCTTCTCGAGGGGGTTTTCCTCCTAACATTACTTCAAACCTATATTTTAAAAATAATTTTATTTCAAGAAAAATAATCCTCCGGTTAATCGATTTTTGAGTACCAAAGAGAAAGTTTCGGTACCAGTAGGTTGAATTATTTTTTGCTATGTGTATATTCAGGTAATTCCTTCTTCACTTATTCTGCTATTTTATTAACTTTGGATTTTGCTTTCGTCCAGTACTATTTCGAGGATTTGGATTGAATAAAAATATGCTTGAAAATTTTTTTGCGTTTGTTACTCTTCTTTTGGGGCTTTAATTTGATAGATCGGATTTGATTCTTGATTGATAAGGGTGTTGGAGTCTACTCCTGGGTTTATAATCGGATTTTGGCTTTGCACGTGCTTCCCCCCTTCAATTTGGTGATAATTCGTAGACATGAGACCAACGACTTGATTTTTTTTTTTTTTTGGTTTGTAATTTTTAAGGGGGTTTTATATTATGTATTGTTTTTCTGTTGAATTTGGAGCTATCATCTGTTTTGTTGTTGGGATAATTTAGGACATCATGCTCTAAATATTTACGGTCGGTTGTCTTCACTGTGCATGATGCTCCCCTGCTCATAAGAGATTAGAATGAACTTTTCGTTTGCCTGGAAATTTAATCTCACTTTGCTTTGCTGTCTTAACTTTTAAGTCCTGTACTTGTTATTTTTGACAATTTCTAAGTTTTTGGGTTTTCGATTGTTCATATTGAGGAAGGCATCTTTTTGTTATTTCCTTTTCTTTTATCAATCTTTTGCTGAGATAAGGTTTATATGCTATTTCTAAAAATCTTATCATCAGGAGCAGAGCTGTGCCCGCCTGTAGAGTGAATAAAGAAGTAGCATTTTTTTCTTCAATTATATTGGGGTCATATAGCAGAAAACATGTACAATATGAACACTAACTACAGCCCTCGGTATGGTCTGTTCTTTTATTAAGCTTTGGTCGCTTTCCATGTTTTTAGCCATGACATGCATTCAGTAATTTGTTGTTTTCTGAACAAACACTTGATCTAGTGTGGTTGTTATGACCTTAGTTTTAACTGTTGGTTTGGTTTTTTTGCCATTTACTCCTTCTTGGGTTTGTTGAAGACTGCAATGATATGTGAGATTGGGCACTTCAAAGGTTGAACTATCTTTAACCATACTGAACAAGCTTGAAACTGGACTTTTGTGTAGACCTTTAGTCATGAGTACATGGGAAATATGCAAAGCTCCAATTTCACCATTAGGGGAGACAGCGCAATCATTGGGTGTTTGCCTACTCTTGGCTGGTGTATTTTAGGGAGGAAACTTACTTTTTATGTATTTAAGTTACTTTATCAAAAAATCCCTTGTCCCTATTATCAGGGAATGGATGATTGGACCGGAGATAATTTAGTTGAATAATTTTGGAAGAATTTAATATTCCACCAAAATAGGTGGAGTACAGGAGTGCACGTGCACTCACACTGATGTTGATGACTCCATGTCTATTTGCAATTAGTATATGTGTGATGTAAGGATCCTTTGCATCTGAAAGGTGAGTTGACACCTTATAGTTGGAGAGAGATTGATGTAATGGGGCCAATATTGAAAAGTAGCCTTCGATGATGGAAACTATCCCATTTGGTAGAGTGGAAGAGATTTTGGTGGAAGTAAAAGCGGAGGAGGAAGAGGAAGTGAGGTGTAAGAAGGGTTGTAAAACATGTTTGGCATGCACATGAAAGTGGGGTATAATTTTTAATTGAAATATGTATTTATAATATGAAAATACAAAAATGCCCTTAAAAAAAAAAAAAAAACTCTTCCAGCGTAGAAGCATCCATGACCAGTGCAAGAAGTCAAGAACATCCATAGCCTTCATGAATTGGAAACTGAATCAATAAGAAAAACTTCAAAGTCATTCTACAAGTCCAAAATTTAATCAAATATTTTTTTAAAAGATTCGTAGCCAAAACAAATTTCTTTTGAAAGATTAATATTGTATTTAATATATTTCAAAGATAGGTGCAGTCCCTTCTGGAATGAAGCCACCTTCTTCTACAACTCCATGGTTGTGCATCATCTTTCATGGTATTGTTGGATTCTGAAGCAATGAGAAGATCACGTACAACGCCGTTGATCTCTTTCACCTCCTTCAAAATGTCGAAGAGAGAACAAGATTAAAGAAGCTTGGGCTGGAGATTGCATCTTCCATTATTCAATGAAGATGGTGACAACAACAGAAGTTGGAGACAGTAATGGCGATAGACATTGGAGATGGTGACAACTATGGACCCTATAGACGGTGATGATGATGGACGCCATAGACGATGACGATGATGGATGCGTAGAGGGCGACTGGTCGAAGAGATGCCATCAAAGGTGAAGGAAGTTGATGGGTAAAATAGTCTTGTGGGTCATTTTTTATGAAGGAAGTGATGGAGGAAGTGGGTTCTTTTGGTGTGAAGGTGAAAGTGAGGTCCACCAATTTTGACAGAACTGAATCCTCTAAAGAAGTGAGATCTGTTATGCCAAACAGACTATTTTCTCAGTTCCACTTCTGCAATCCCAATTCCATGCTATCAAACAAAGCATGAATCTTTCTCTCTCTCTCCCAACTATAGCTCATGCACTATTGTTGAAGATTCATTCTGTTATGTTTGTGTACATCTATCAATTTGGATTCTCTTTTGTACCTAGGAAATATGTGCATGCAATTGTAGATAGATAGATGAAGGATGTAGGTCAATTAGATTCCAATATCAAAAGCTCTTCAGCCTCACTCTTCAATTGCACCTTGTGCTTTATGACTGAGGATCCAGTTTGATACACATTTTTATGTGCATACCTGTAAATTTGGGTTTATGCTGCAAAAATTTAATTTTAAATCACTATAAAATATCTAAAATTAAAATGTCTTTGATACTTGATCATTTATGAAGATGTAACTTCTAATCTTATCAACTCATCATTTTTTTTGTAGTCTAAATTTAAAGTTCAAGAAAAAGCTTAGACATGCTTATGGAAACAAAGAATGTGAAATGACATGGAATTCTAAATTACATATTCCAAATGTGAGATTGGGAGTGTAGGAAGCATTGGTGATAGGGATTTGACTTTGGTTGGAAGCTACTTTGGATGGCAACTGCCATGTGCTAGCAACCAATTACTGATGTGGATTGCTTTGTTGGGAATGCATAAGAAGCACTTTATAACGACAGTATCCTTCTCAGAACTGAGAAGATTTTTTCTCTCTTGGTTGTCTATCTATTCAATTATCCACTGTCTGAAATGGATCTATTAACTAGTTAGACTTCTTGATATTGTTAGATTCTTTGTTCTGCTCCTTATTTGCTATCATATATGGCGAGCATGCATGTATGCATGGATTATGCCCTCTTTTTGGAGCATTTGTCAAAAGAGCACATTATTTTGTGTATTGTGTCTTTGTTGAGGTCCTTACTTGTATTGTCATGTAGACCATGTCATCCTGTATTCAGTCTTAATTGTTTATGTCAACATTTGATGGGCTAATAATCTTGGGCTAATGATCTTACATATTCATTCAATTTTCTCACAAGTTTTGAATATCCAGGAAGTACAAATTATTCTTGATATCATGATTCGCCATTGCTGCTCCAGTCTCTTTAAAACTGCTCAAGCTTTAGAGTTTATTTGAGTTCCGTGTTTGAGCTTTTGGATTTCAGCTTGCTTATAGATATTGCTGAAGTAGATCCACATGGAAACAAATATTGCAAAGGCATTGGATAGAGTGGTGCCTAATTTGAAACGAAAGCAGGCTAGTCAATGTGCTGCAAGATTAAATGGAGCTTCCCACTCAGTGCTACCTCATTGGTCATCCTTAACATTTCCAACAGACAATTATGTCAAACGGAGGAGATTGGGTGAACATACAAGCATGTATACCAATTATGGGTCTAATTTCAGACAATCTTTACTTAGATGTTATTTGAACTTCAAAAAAAGTGGGAGGCCAGAACGGTTGATGTTCTATCAGAGTGGTGAATGGACGGACTTCCCTGAGGATGTTGTCAACTTGGTTAGAAACGAATTAGAGGTAAAGAAGGCTTCTGTGGAAGTAGACTTTAATGGGGATCATCTTGTGCTAGATTTTCTGCACATGTATCAGATGGACCTGAAAACTGGTTCACGGCAACCTATTGCATGGATTGATGAGAAGGGGCACTGCTTCTTTCCTGAAGTTTGTGCTGCTTCTGATGAAAGAGTTTGTGAACATCTGTGCGAGGAGCCTTCTGAACCTAATGAGATAAAATTGCATTTGGATATTGAAATAAATGGAGTGGATAAATCCAAGTTGAGTGAATGTAGTGGTGAGTCAAATGCGGTATTGAAGCATATTCAAATTGATTCAAAGCAACCCTGCAATCAGTATGACGTAGAAGTTGAAGATGGTAGTAACGAGCTGGATATTGAAAATTTTGGCAAAGCTATTGAGCAAAATCAAGAGATAGGTTTAGATGCACATACTGAATCTGTAAATGGAAAATTGGATTTGGATACTGTACAGAACATGTTTCTTAAGGGCATGAATAGTTATGGCACTACTAACATAGTGGAGATATATCGCATCTCAAACACTTTGATGCAATCACGATTGGAGCTATTCCAGAAGCAGGCTGAAATTACAAAGAAGTGTCGTGCATATGCTAATATTCAATATGCTTGGCTTGCTTCTTCCAAAGGAGAACTGTCAACAATCTTGAAGTATGGGCTTGGGCATTGTGGTCTATCTGCAACTAAATCTGTATATGGTGCTGGTGTTCGTCTTGCAGCTGTTGGCTGCCCTATCACGAGGTTGAATTTTCTTTTGATCTCAATAATATTATCTGAGTTTAAACTTGTCTGGATCAAATGAACTATTTGAATGTTCCATGCAAAGCTGCATGCCTGTTTGGCAGGTTAATATTGTTAGATTTTAATGAATTTTCTATTCTAACAGATACTAGCATTTCCATAGATTGCGTTTTGCTATACTGATTGAATTATGTATAATATGTTCATAGTTTGTTGGTAGTTATTGTTATTATTTTTTTATGTACATCTCTTTTTATTCACTATGTTGTATCCTTTGTCACGATACGCCCCATGCCATGTTCACGTATGTTTATACTTTGTTGTATGTACAATTCATACGGTCAATTGTTTGCCCATGAACTAATAGAAGACTAATATGCTCTCTCTTTTAGATGTTATATTTATCTTTGACACCTGTACACCTTAATAGTTTCATGTCCAGGACCATTACCCATGACTCGTAGTGGAAGCTATCTTTTGCCTGTCTCTACTGTTCCCCTTTCCATAGCAGGCTTGAGTATTATGCACATCATTGTTTTTTCTGTTTCATATAAAATTGCTCTCACTTTGGGCACCTTTATCTATTGCTTTCAAGATATACTATTTTAATTGAATATTCGTTACTACATGAAAGCATTTTTAGTAGGGATTTTCCTATAGTTTTCTTTATTGTCTTCCTTAATTCCTCAATGTTACTTACCAATGTTCTAGATTATTTTGTTTGAATTTCTTAGAGGAGGATTCTGTTTTTGCTTATGTACAGTGCAATTGATTGTGATGTTGACGAAATTGGGGTACGACACATGGTGTTTTGTCGTGTAATATTGGGAAACATGGAGCGTCTCCGTCCTGGCACTAGGCAATTTCATCCCAGTAGTAATGACTATGATAGTGGGGTAGATGAGATTCAAAGTCCGAGATACTATGTAGTATGGAATATGAATTTGAATACTCACATCTATCCAGAATTCGTTGTTAGTTTCAAGGTTTCTTCTGATGTTGAAGGTGATCTGTTAATTCTTTACCTTTTTTGGGTGTTTAATTTTTGTTTTCCTAATACAAATAAGAACTTATATATTTTTGTATTATATATTGTAGCACTTGGTTAACCAGGGCTTTTTCCATAGATTGTTGGTACCTACTTGTTGGGCACTCTGACATTCAAGAGATGTTTCATCATTCAACTCTTGTTCAATGACATTGCCAGGCATTCTGCTGCCAAGCTTTATGGTCTTACTTAGAAAATTCTTTTCTTTTTGTTCACCAATACTTTGTGCTTCTACAGGGGATCATTTTGGCATTGAAAGTAAACGAAATGTTTCCAGAGTTATTACACCCTGTCAAGGTCCAGGCCTGTTACAATCTGAGTCTTCTACTGTAGATATAGTAAGTAATTTGTTTTTGGGTTCTAGTATACGTTGCTTGGTCTAGTTTGCTTGTGTATATCGCATATTAGTAAAGCAGTATCATCGTAATGTGTGGAAGTCATAGGTTCATCAGCCTATTTGTGCTCTTACTTGCTCTGTTTTCTTTCAACTAGATCCGGACCCTGAACACTTGCATATATGCTTCGTCTGACTGGATCAGTCAGTGTTAATAGATCTGATTTGTGATTACTGCAGCTTGTTTAGTTTGTCAGGCGTTGTGCTATATTGAATGGACAACTCAGTACCTACACTGTTACTGAGTATTTTAATGGGACTATCCACTACTCGAATGAAGACAGCCATATAGGAATATGGAAATTATGATGAGAAACAGTAAACAATCCACACTCGCATAACAAACATCTGTACATAGTAGAAAAACGGAGATAGTGAAGTCAACTGCAGAACACACAAATAGTTATCCAGGCTAGTGTTGTCCCTCCAATTTCTCAACCTAGTCTCTCATTTTCCCACAGTTACGTATTACCCTTAAATACCTGGTAATTGCCACTTTCTCTCTCTTGCAACTCACCCATTTACTTATCACTCATTTTTTGTAACTTCCCCCTCTGCCTCATAACTTCCTCTTTCTTGGTTCTCCTAGAATATGCTTTCATTTTTCCCTAGTCACTCTTTTCCTTGTCCTTCCTCTGGCCATGTTTTTTGTCAAATGTTTTAGTGTAATATTAGAATTTCAAATGTTTTAGCTCTGGCTGGCAGCACCAGGAGTTCTGGATCCCCTTTGATACTAGAATTTCATGTGTTGATAGTGTGGTTGTTCAACATCTACGTCTGTCCACATTTACATATATTTATGTGTTCTTCTCATGGGTCGCTTGATTTGATGGGTGTAATATTTTTTTCCTGCCCTTGAAAAGGTTTCATTCTGGGCTCCCTCCGCATTGTAGTTCATCTGGTAGTAATTGCATTTAAATTTGTTAATTTCTTTTTTGTTAAATTAAAGTTAAGGATAATCACTTGATCAATATCCTTCTCACTCCATGTGCAAATTTTTAAGAGTGTTGAGCATTTGAAATTTTCATTCTGTTCAAATCTTCTAATCTTTTGCTGTACTGTCTATAAGAAGAGTGTTAGCCGACCAACTTTAGACCATGGGATTCCTCAAGGGAAAGCTGCTAGTATGAACTCTAGCTCTTCAAGAGGTCCGAAATCCCCTTGGATGCCTTTTTCTATGCTTTTTGCTGCTTTATCAAACAAGGTTCCTCCCATGGACATGAAGCTTATCAATGCACATTATGAACAATTCAGGGTATGTAAGGTAGCTGAATTATGTTCCTTGGTCTTGACTGATATCGTGCTGATTTCTTTTTTCTTTTTTTCAATCATCAGGCCAAGAAGATAGCCCGTGATGATTTTGTGAAGAAGTTGAGATTGATAGTCGGAGATACTCTATTGAGAACTACAATAACAAAGCTTCAGTGCAAGGTGCATTTATTTCTACATGTTTTGGCAATTTAAAATTGTGCTTGGGTTTCTGTTATGTTCTTATCACCTCCTAGTGATATGTTGTTGAAGTTTGAGCGGTTGATATGCTGGTATTTTTGTAATCCCAGTTCTCTTACATGCTCGATGTGAGATCTAATTATTAGGTTTCAATGTTTAGTTTGACAAGTGAACTTCAAGAAAGGGCACAAGTGGTCTTTTATGGAACGCTTGTAAAGTTAAATAAAATGATTTTCCTGCAAAATCTGCCACCATGCCTTGAAGCATCTTTAGTTACTTACTTAGTGAACACGATCATTTTAAATGTCTTTAGGTATTTTATATGCTTGAAATGCTAGATAGGACTATCGATAATGTTAATTCTAGTCTTACTATACATGGCATTCTGTGTTTGCCTGAAGTAGTTTTGTGGTGTTTCATCATTAGCGAGAATGTTAATTCTCTTTGGCATGGTTGAAGGCTGACCTCTGTTAAATATCAGAAATTCCCAATTCTGGGCATTATGGATATCTTGTGATTTGAAGGTTGGCCTTGGATGCTCGTTTCAGTAGTTTGGAGCTATTTGTATTGAGTGGTTGAAAGTTCATGTGACTGTTATCGAAAGTGTTTCTTATTTTGCACGTTCTCAGATATTGTGATGGCAATTATACATGTTAAAATCGTATTGGCCAGATTTCAGTTTGCCTGTCTGATTACTTGCCTCTTTTTATCTCTCATATGATCCGTAATTAAATTTATCTTGACTGTTTGCAGATGCCATCCGACTCAGGGTGTGAATGGGGCAAAAGTCAAGCAGCTACATAGAGGCTGAGGCTGCCTTGACGTGACGGAGGTAGAGAACTCTGATTATCTGCTTTTGGATTATGTCTAGCGAGTGTCATATCGATTAGTTTAAATGCTTGAAATGCGTCGACATGAATATGTGAATTACGGGGCTAAGGACCATGACTTGCCGGAGCATCTAGGCTTGAGTCTCTGATTTACTTCCCCTCAAAGTAAGGGGGAAAAACTCTTTTCTTTTTGCATTTACTATCTTTTTTCCCCTCGACTTCTTTGATGAAATTGGATCGTTGTTGTTACTGGTAGTCCATTAGAGCTGGCTTTGGATTTCATGTGATGGTGGTATATTTTAATCCCAATTTCTACTGTCGATTGCCTTTTTTCGGTTAGGTGCCGGTTTTGGTGATTGAATCGGCTGCTTCTAACCTGTTGTTTTATTCTGGTAATTAACTTGGCATTTTTTATAGTTTATCGGTAGAATGAAGTATTATAATATTAGGTAAAAAGATCGGCTGTTTTTGCCCCCCAAAACCATCTCTCGAAATTTTTTTATCTCCAGGTGCTACGTCTATATTTTTTCCCTGGCGAAGTCCTACATTTTTTTCCCTCGCTTAATATTAACGGGCAACCAATTATGCGGCCCTGTTTTTAAAGTTTAAAGTTTTTGTTAAGCCGTTTTGGTTCATGGAGATGGACTTCTCTGATGAGGGAGTTGGGTTGGGTTCTTGAACCTGCATTATAGACACTTAGGAGGGAGTTGACTCCATTTTGGGTGGATGGCTTGGACTTGTAGGCAATATTATATGTTTTTGGACAGGTTTGTAAATTGCAGGAGGCCCGATTGTTGTGCGCGTTTTGAATGATAACAATGACAATAGCATTGTCTTTATTAGCTGTTTAGCAATTCAAAATAAAGGTTCTCATAAGATTCACCCAAAATAATAATAAAGGTACTTATAGTGTCTATACAGTTATTATTTAATTGTTTCTTTAATCAGTTTTGCTATAAAGCAACTTTAATATTATCTTCGTAGTTTTCCTTTTCCTTTTCTCGGTCAATCACAAGGGAATAAGGTCTTAATATAGCATTGCGATGGCTAATTAGTGTAGGATCAGCTCCTTGGCATCAAATTATAATCTGTGTGTGTGTGTGTGTGTGTGTTTTTTTTTTTTTTTTTGGTTTTTGGGGGAAAGGTTTCTTGTAATTTTCAAATGGTGTTTCTAGAAGTTTTATTTCACTATTCAAGTTTTGCGTGAACGTAGTACTATATGTTTCTTATGAGTTATAATATCAGTCGAGCGACGCAGAGAGGATTTGTTTGTTTTTTCATACACAATGTCCACTTGTTCAGCACATCTATGCTACGAAAATTGCCATATAAATTATACTTTTATAGTGGGCAAAAAGTTATATAAAATTATAATGCAATCTTTTACAGTACAAATAGCTTGAGAAATGAGTCATGAAAGCTCATGGCTTTGGGAATGATTTGGCTGTGTAGATTCCATATCACATATTATTAGTTGTGTAATTTGTAGTATTTCGATCTGTTAGCCAGGCTTGAATGTTTGTAGAGGCATGAAATCTCTTCGTTCATTACGTTTGAATCAGTAATGTATTGCACAGTATATTTTAACGCCTTGGGTTTTCAAAATATAAACGCACTATAATATATATATTATTGGATATGAAATTCTTATGAGGAGACTTATTATTAATAATATGTATATGTATAGCTAATTAATGCAAGCTTGACTTAATTTGAAAGACGTTTCACTTTTTTTTTTTAAATAAGTCAATTTTATTTTATTAAAAAGTAAAGCTCACAACAACACAGCATAAAAGCACATGGAGTTAGAAGATTAACTCAGCAGTGACCAGAAATAAACACCACCATGAAAATAGACGACAAACAAGAGAAGGCACAACTCAAAACTCATGATGGATTCAAATTGAGCCTTGTTACATCAAACAAGAAAAAAACATAAAGCTAAAAACAAACACAGAGATGTTCAACACGAGCAATGTCGTCCACATCATAGCACGATTCTGCAACCATAAGAAGTTGGAGCTTGAAACTTGAAGAGAAAGAGAGTCTTCAATGAAGCTTAAATTTAACATGCTCATCTGTCTATATTTCTGTAGGCGATAACCACGGCCAAGAACAACCTCGTAGGGTTTTGAAAGATGCTGTCTAAGTGTGAGAAACAGTGGTTGTTGAAAGATTGCATATGCTCCTACTTACATTTGATTTTTTTTTTGTACAGAATTTTTTTTATTACAAGGCAACAGAAAAATAACCATGCAAAAGTTACAAAAATTGGGTTATGTAAGATTCTAAGAGGATTTTGCACATTGTAGGCGGTTGATTAAAAATAATAAGATCTAAATTGTCTTAAGATACTTGGTGTGCAAGCATATCAATGCATTTGTTAACTTTTTTAAAAACATGATTAAAAGTGATTATCAATATTTCATTGCAAGCTCCCTAATTTTCTTAGTATTTTCTGATACAGGATGGCTATCAAAGAAGTTATGCTGGATAAGTAAGAGAGTTTTCATGGAATCAAGAGAAAACATAATCTTTGGTTCTTATAATTTTATTGGGTTTTGTTTTTAAACCCTGTAGTATTTTTAGTGTTTTCAATCCTTGTAGGGACTAAAAACATTGAAAATACTGAAACAATAAGGACTTTAAAAACAAATGTCACTCAATCTTAATGAAACTATAGAGATTGAAAACACTAAAAAAAAAAATCATAGGGATTAAAAGCAAGACCTAATAAAATTGTAGGGATCAAACATTATGTTTTCCTAAGGATCAATGTGGATATTAGTTTTTGTGGATTTTGTACAGGAATTTGAACCGTTGTTGGGCCAAGGAGATTTGTCAACCTGGACCACAATTTTAAATTTTACAGAAATGGATTGCAGGTGAAGTTAAACCTTATCGACAAAAAAGGGGTTTTTTCTGGTGGGGGTGGGGAAGATATGGAATTTAAGTACATTCGAAGCGTTCAATGGGTCCTAAAGCTTGCTCCTGATACACTCAGCTAAACGTAAAAAAAAAAAAAAAAAGAGAGAAGAAGAAATACAGATAAATCTTATAACTGAAGTTTGTCGTGCTACCAAGAAGAAAAACATGGTAAAGTTAAATTTGAGGATTTTAGAAAAAAGTAAAAAAAAAAAAAGAGCAAAAAAGAGAGTATAATAATAGGGAAACATGTGATAAGTAGCAGGTTGGATCTCGCTTATAACCTCATCTAGTCATTAATTAGTGTCTAAAAAAAAGAATGAAGGAGTGGGTGATGGTGCAGAGTGAGGAGATGTGAGAACTGAGAAGCGAGTGAATGAATGAATGCATGATATGTGGTGTTCTGACGCAAAGGGGGTGAATCCGATACGGGCATTGAAAGAGAGACATATTAGAGGAGAGGAGGGAAGAGTGGTGGTCCCCATGTTTAGAGAAAGAGAAAGCCGACGTCAGCGCCTGACATTGCTCTAAAGCATTTAAAAGTAAGTCATTATGAGTGAATGATTCAGTCTCTGCTAAAGTTAAAGTCACTCCTGTCCCTATGCCTCTGTCCCTCCCTTACCTTCCTCTCTCCTTCCTCCACACATATTTCTTTTATTCTTCTTCTCATATATGCGCAATTATGCAGAATCATAGTGACGGATGAAGTCAACTATTTGAAGCAGTAAATATTAATTGAAAGCAAAGGAAAGAGAGAGCCCGGGTTGAATGCCGGGCAAGGAAAGTGAATAGTGAGAGAGATTCAAGACAAAACAAAGAGAGAAGCTAAGAGGGTATGAATGAATTGTGAGTGTCACGCTCTGTTTGGATGTGAAAGGACGAAGGAGCTAGCCCGACAAGGACGAACAAAGCACTCTCTCATTCTCATGATCATCGATCTTCAATCATGGACCAATCCATTCCTTAATCATTATATATATTGCTTAGTGGAATCAATATATATTAATACAATGGAGGATCGGACATATTCCCCACACTCCGTATCTTATGCTGTTTGTCGTCATGTACCTAAGAGCATCCATACTCATACATGGCTTTATGTTGATTGCATATATTGTGTTTGTGTTCCCAATCCTCCCGCGACAATCTCGCCTTATTATCCGTCCTCTTCTTCTCATTCTCTCCCCTTTGTCTCTTCCTTTGTTCTCTACCCTCTTCTCTCCCACAATATCACCTACCTAGAATACTCTTAATAACTTAGTTAAAATGACGACATCTAAATTTATATATTATTTTCACTTTTACCTCCTTTTTTAAATAACTTGCCTCAGTTTAAAAAAACTTTATTAATTACACCTCTTAATTAAAAGAATGAAAAAAATTGTATTAATAACATAACCTAAAAATATCGGTTAATTGTTGCAAGGAGTGAAGATCTTGATGCCTCTCTGCATTGTCCACAAATGCCCAACTGTGAAGGAAGGAGTATTTTAAATTTAAACTTACTGTATGTCCTTAATATTATATATGTGGATACAAGTATAGGGAGGAAAAGAACGAGCTAATAATGCCAAAGTGGTGATCAGTATCACGTCACATTGAGATGTTACATAACACAAAGGCAAGTCCTTTTTCATGCATTACCACACAAACTTTGCTCAAATATATCAAAACCTAGATCGCCTTTTCACCCAATACACTTTTTCCTTCCACTCGCTATGTTTTTCTTTGCCCACTTCTACTTAGCATCTTCTGCTCTGGAGACTACTCAATGAGCCACCACCCCCAGCCTCACTGTATAATTTCTGGTCATTCCACATCTCAAAAACATCAAAAAGAGAGACTTTAAATTGTGCAGCTCTGTTACCTGTCTGACAATATGCTGATGAACATGCATAAATAAATTGATTGCATGAAAATTCCATGCATCCCGCTGTCACCCCCCAACCCCTAGCTAGTGTTCCAAAATGGACCCTAACGCTTCCGACTTTTTTCATGCAAAACGTCTCGAGCTACTCAAGAGGGCCATGGAAAGATGAAAGCAAGTTTCACAGAGAGAAAAGGTACAACACGAGTCTCTCTCCCCCCCCCCTTCTCTCTCTCTCTCTCTCACTGAGACGACGCATGAACGGGTGAAACGAATGAAAACGCGGGGGCGTCATCAAAACGATCGTCACCTCACTGGTCGTTTTCTCTCTCGCCATTATCTGATCTTTCTACTGTTATCGAAAAGATCAGAGCATGCATGAACAATCTGACAGGGGCTGCCACCAAGATAAGACTAGATTGTGACACGTGGAGGCAGATCTCGGACCGAGGATGAATGGTAAATCATAGTGTAATGATGAATAAATAATTGGTGTGTCGTTTTATTCGTATAAATGTGTTGTGTGTG